TTATTCACAAATTTCTCAAAAGCCATTGTTGGTATCTGTAACAAGTGCTTCGCTGTACTTCTCAGTAACAGTTCTCTTAGTTGTAAGTTCTAGTTATAAGTATGTCAATAGCAAACATGCGTCTTAGTTGTATATCAGTGTAATCCTTGTACAGAAGTCTGTGAAACTGTTTCTGTACTGTTAGTATGCAAGGGCTTACACAGCAATGTGCATGCTAATAGCCCTTTAGAGTATTCTATAGCGTAAATAAAAAAAAAGAAAAAAGAACTCTCCTTGCTAGCGGACTACTCACTACTTGCCGCTGTTCAAAAGCCGGAGATCCAGTCGAGTTGAGTAATACCAGTGCTGGGCATGGAAGGAAGCGAGTCGTGCATTTGTGGACTTCATCAAGGAACACCTTGATAGGTAGGGTGTGACAGCTGTTCCTTTTCGGGCAATGGCGATGAAACCCAGCTCGTCTCCGACCCGGACGGGTCAGTCCGATACGGTTCCGCCACAGCGATCCAATTCTCCATTCGGTCATAGTTTGCGTGAAGAGTTCTTGTGCTCTGGCCGAGTGATTCATGTTAGACTGTAGTAGGTGGCCCTGTAGGGCCATTATTGCGTTGTTTCCACGGCTTCTTCATGGCCGCATGCTTCTTCATATTGGGCTGTATAGGATAGTACAGCAGTGCGATCTTCCCCTTCGGTGGGCATGGTTGGTGGGATTTTTTTGATGCTGCAGTCGGATGGAGTGCCACGAGTCCCAGGCTCCTATTGCCGACGTTGGTGCTTCTGGTGTTCCTTCTCTTGTTTAACAGTGGGCAGCAAGCCTAGCTTCCTAGACGATGTTCTGCTGGCCTACCGAGATCTGCACATAGCGGGCACTTGAGCGAGGCGATGCAGATCATTAAATTGCGATCCTTCGCACCAACCGCGTTATGATCAGTGTCTGAGATACACCATTACTTCACGTGACGCTTCTCCAGGCAGCGATAACATTGGAGCAGGTGTAGCAAGTGCTTCCATTCAAGCTGATGTCCATCCGACCAGAATTCTACCTGCAGGACAATAATCTTTTTGGCAGCCACTGCAGGACACTGGATCCATATGAATACTTGTCCCAAAGGTGAGCGTCGCCGTATCTTCCCAGTTCTGACGTCCGTCACCTCGCATGTGCCAGCCGTCGCCACCGCCAGCGCCACTTCAGTTGAAGCGATAGAGTCCTGTATACTACGGAGATCCGCTTTCTTTATAGTGTGGGCTATCTTTATTTCCCCTGTCTCCGGGAAAATCTTTAGGTGGCCTGCGAGAGTATTTGCTTTGGCTATGCTCTCTTTTCTAGGGATTTCCAACGCCAGCCCGCCTGAGATTGTTCGCTGCGGGCGAACATCTTGAATCCCAATCTCTGATAACTTGATTCGATCTCGGGCAATACTCATTATTTCCACGTATGTTTTTTGGTTACCAGGAGTCACAGTCAGGGTAGTCACTACCCGTCTTGAGGCTCTAGCCAGGCCTGGTTTGTCTGACATCTCTTTATTCCTTAAGGCTTGTTACCATAGCCGGGCACCCTCCTTGCCAATGCTAACTTTACAAAGTGGAGAAACAATGCCCACGAATTGTTCGAAAAGCCAAAAATATATTGGCATAGCATGAGGTCAATTTCCTCTTCCACTGCCTTGTTGCAATCGGGAACAAGTTATTTGGGCTTGCTACTGACCAGTGGTCCGAGGATCGTTTCGATCTAGGACTCTGTGGACTATTGTCGTATTGTTACTTCTCGTGGAGTGTGTATCATTAACGGGTTGTTGGTCGTAGAGATGAACGGCAAAGTTTCATTCTTGGCGGGGTTACGTTGTAACGTAATGACATGTACCCATGCCTGGTAGAAATGGAAGCTTGCGAGTGATCTACAGATGATGAAAAGGATGAAGATTGGGAAACGCGTTCCCGTTAGGCGATTTGGAGCCCTGATTGCTGCCAGTACGGGAAAATGGCACTTGGCTGGCGCCGAAGAACGAATGTGACAGGCTTGTCGGCGAATAGATTGGGGGATCAGTGGTCGTTGTGGCTACCAAGAAGCTGATGTTGTTACTGGCTGTTTGCAACCGTTTGCCGGGGCCAGGCTGCTTATCGTAGAGGGTGCTCTCGCAACCGTTTCATTTTATAATTCGGCGGAAGTTAATGGAGCTTGCAGCCAACACGATGAACGCTATTTTGCAAGGAAATCGAAGTATGACTGTAAATAAACTAGATTGGATCGTCTTGTTTCCGCTTATGTTTACCCAATAGCATTACTGGTCGTTTGATTGGCCATTGGTGAGATTGGAGTCACAGTGGACAACTGCAATTGGATTTTTCTTTATGTCCTTTCCGATCACGTGATTGGGAAGGTAAGCTGTTTTCGGCTATTGACAAAGGTCAATTCTATGTCAATAACGCATTCCCTACATATTATATTTTTGGTTTTTTTTCTTTAAATAACAAAAATACATTACTTTTTCAATCTCCCTCGATTCATTTCTTGTTTTAGTATGTATTTGTATCGAAAATAAATAATATTCGAAAAATTCACTGAAATGCATATTTATCGAATTTATATGTCACGACTACTATAGTATTCTGTATTTTTTAATCGATAGAGTTTTGTCACAAAATTGAACTTATCCTTGAATTTCAAAGTCAAATTTTTTTATAATTACATCGTATTCTACTTATCGCAAAGACTATATTTGTCAAAGAAAAATTATAATTACAAATAACCTCCTGAGAAACTTCTTTAAAGTTTCATTAGCTTTTACATGGTCTTTATTATCAACATTTACATTTCACAATTAGATATAAGTTATTAATAGTGGAACAGGGAAATGTTTTTTGGTAGCTAAAATATTTAACATGAAATATCCAAAATAAGACGGAGCGCTTACTAATTTTATGATTTTAGATTACTTAAAAATTGCTTATTGTATAAGAAAATGTTTCATTTGTATGATATCGAAGAGAACATGATTAGATGATTAATTCTCATCAACATGTGGAGAATGTATAAAGATCATCTATGTTTTTAATTAATACTGATGAATATTTGCGAAAACTATAATAATGAATCATGCTGTTTTCGATTTATAAATCTTTAACTAAATCTATGAATGTCTATATCTATAAATCTTTAACTAAATCATACTTAATTTCATTAATTGCTCTTATTAATATTTCTTTGAAATATACACTTTCTTTCTTTGAAATACATTCTTTCTTTGAAATGTATGAAATATATAAAGATAAAAGAAATTATTCTATTATCCAAAACTCTCTTATCGAAATATCCATGCTCCCTAATTAATTTGAATAATTCAGATTCTACTGCATGTTCATTAATTAAATTTGTATAATTGAATTTGTTAAAAGATATATCATATCTTGCATTAAGTAGGTATATTTTATAATACTTATCAATAGTTTATAATACTGGTCAATGAAATAGAATGCTAGTCAGTCTGTTTTGTTCATCTAAATACGATCATTTTCGTATCATCATCAATCCTTTTTAAAATAATTTTCGAAAATATCATCAGCAAATAAATTATTTAATATACGATTAATTGAATCATTATACTACTTGAATGGCTTGGTTTTCGAATTCCAAAAATTAATAAGCTTTAATCGTTTGCATACAGGCAAATTGACCTTAATCTGTCAATTCTTATTTTTGCTGCTATTATGAGAAATAATTCAATTTTTTAGAGTAAAATACAACGATTCTTAATTGTTTCATACTTTTTAGGAGCTGATTACAACACTGTACATCGGATTTCTGGGTCTTATTTTCAGCAGCTATTTCGTGTATCTTGCCGAAAAAGATGTTGTTGGACCCAATGGAAAAACAGATTTTTCCAGCTATGCCGACGCGTTATGGTGGGGTGTGGTAAGTGAATGTTATTTTTACTTATTTAAGTAAATAAATAATTTTTTTTTTAAAGCGTATTTTTTTGTAATTTGATACTTCTATTATCCTATACGCAGGCACTCTACGAAATCATCTTTCGACCGCTTATACACAAACTGTTTAGAAATATTTTTTTCCAAATTAATATTTATAAATATCATTTATCAATATTTATTGTCACTTTGAGGTTTTTGTAGGAGAGATCGGCAAAACAAAAGCCACGTCCTATTCATGTTTGTTTGCATAAGTTTTTTTAGATGATTTCATACCTATGCATCCAAGATAATTGATGATTGAATAAGTGGTATTCAATCTATCAGATATCTGGAGTTTCAAAAATAAAATTTCTTACGGCTGAAGTGAGTTAATATTTTTTTAAAAAGTGAGTAGAATAATAGATTCAATGAAAAGATAATACAAGTAGTACAAGTTTTGTTGATCAAAGCTGATTGCAGATATGCGACACTCGTTAATTCTAAAATGCATAAATCAAAAATTCATTACTCCCGAGCAGTAAAATGAATCATGGTTTGGTTTGCATTTCCGTTGGACATTCCTTTGAATGTTTCAGTTTAGTGTTTACTAGATCAGTATTCAGAAGCATCGTGTAGTAGGTCAATGGTCGCGCGTATGGTTAATGGCAATATAGGCGAATGAGTATACATTGTATTCAAAAAAAATGAGTGATGTATGCGTGCGTGTGTGTTTGTATGTGTATATGTGTGTTTTCTCGTGAATGAATGATGCTTTTCCATTTTGACTGCAATTTACCATTGTAATCCCAATTACACGACGTCATACATCAATAAAAATCTTATCAATAAAGGAATCCATCAGTGTGTATCAGAATCTTTCCGATAGTCGTCACTTTCACGTTCTAATATGAACAAAGCAATACGTATTATATAATATTTACATATAATTTATAATTACTACAAAATATAATTACAATTAATAAATAAAATATAAGCACATTAAGAGAAGATAACAAATAAAGAGAATTAAAATTCGGATATTCTTTCCGAAGAAAACGGTTGAGTTGCTATATAGTTTCTTTGAGTATTTTTTTGTTATAATGGTAGAATATAATATAATAAAGAACATTTGACCATGGAAAACATGATCCACTTTTTAAACAAATCTACACCAGTTCGAAGGTATTGAATCATCTTTCATAGTCAAATAATTTTTTGATACAAAATGATTATAACTGTATTACTTTTTTCACGTAAGTTAAACTAGTTATAAAAATGGCTATAATTTTTGAACGTAAAAGTTCCGATACCCATCGGTTGTCCTAAATACTAAATTTTTGCATCTGTTTCTAATATTTTTAAAATTTTTATTAAATATTGGTTTGTTTTCACGTAAAAAATATCAATAATCTTTCTTTCAAGATTCCATCATACATACATCAATTTTATGAATGTTAAGTATACGTATGTGCATAAAAGACTAAAAACGCTTAGTGACCGAAAAAAATGACTAAAACGCGTGACTTTAGAGAAACACTCACAACACATTATAAAGTACCACGATGTGAAATTCGTGTTAAAAAAATTGATCACAACATATCGGCATTTTCGTAATTTTGTTAGAAATTGAAAATTTTTATAATTGTAGTTGGCAGATTGCTTTTTCAAGACCACAACGTGTTGTGATGTTTTTTTTTTTTTTTGTTTATTGAACGTTCTTAGGCTTTGAATTTAACATATACGTATGTATGTACGTATATGATATAGAATACGTATAGGTATGTACATGTATATCATTTGCTCATGCAGGTTGTTCTTGTAATTTCTTTCTATTTCTATGTTTCAAAATTGTGATAAAAAAACTCGCAATGAAGATATTCTAATTGTAGTACTAGATACAAAAAAAATTACTTAAGATAAAAACATCTATAAATATCCATTTGTTTATTGATTGACTCTTTCTAGCATTGTATTGATGTTAAAAAAATATATGTGTTTTGAGTTAATTGAACATTTCTATAAATATGAACACTTTGAATTAATATACTACTAATACTATTACCTTTGAAAACAAACTGTATGCTTTTAACCTTAATAACATTGACCAATCTACTCTGATTTGCATAAAATAAGTAATTAAAAAAAAATTTAACGTGTAATATTGTGAAATAATATAATGTTGTAATATTGTTGTGTTTCAAATTCGTGGAACAAATAGACGAAATCAAATAGACGAAACTGAGTAGAGAAAGAAGAGGAAGAGTATGTAGCGGATGTATATCCATATCCAAGGTTGTAGGTTGTTGTGGTTAAATATTTATCATATATAATATATATTAAGAACATCAGAAAAGCAAACGACAAGTCAAAGGAAGTTGTTCTTGTTTAATAAAAAAAAATCAAATGCTTCTTTTTTTTATCGTTTTATATTCATTTTGAAATATCCCCTAATTTTTGTGAGCAGCGTAGTATACAGGATACTTACGGATTTACTGTCTAGCGTTTTTCCTCATAAACGGTAGATGTTATATAGAAATAAAAGAGGAAGAAGTACTGTTTTTTGTACGTGATGTAATGAGATGATGTACAAAATTTTTTTTAGTCGTACTGTTTTTCGAGAAGGTGGCTTTCAATTTTTTAAATGGAATGCTATATTTTTTTTACATTACATGAAAACGAATACGAAGACGAATTCAACGATATCTTATTTAATGACCTTCACACTTACATAAGGTCAGGAATAAAAGGAATATTTCGGATATTGACCGATGTTTCATATTGAGATGATTACAGTTCATATTCAATATTCATATATACTTTTAGTGGTTGTGAATAAATTTGTATTGACACTTTTAGAATGTGCAAAACATAGAAAATTATTTATTAAAGCCAACGGTATGTAATATTTATAATATAAATGAAGTGCTCTAGACTCAGCGTATTAAATTAGTAACTTCTGTATGTTTTTTACATACTCAAGTATAGACCATGTAAAAAATCTGCAAGTAACTCCCCCATAAATCTTAGTTTTGAATGCGAAGAGTTTTTCCGCACAATAGTAATTATCATGTCTTAAATATGTATACCTTGCGAATTTATGATACACTGTCTTCCGGTATAAATAATTTAAAATAAAAAATAATAAGTATCTGTGTATCGATATGAAAGTACAAGCAGAAGTCATTAAAAGTGTATTGCATAGAAAAGTGTATTCTAGCGAGTGGAAATCATCCATTCGAGTGGGCGTATCAATACGCAATATCCGAACTATTTCTTTCGTTTCTGACTTCATGTAAATGTACAAATTATTGAATGATATATCTTCATATTCGCTTTCATATAATGTAAAAAAATAACCATTTTAAAAATAGAAGATCATATTCAGTTCTTAATGTGACTAGAAAATAGTATGATTAGAAAAAATTTTTAGTGTATCATTACATTGCGTACAAAAAATAGTAACTTCGTCCTCTTTCATTTTTCTATAGCATCTACCGTCTATGAAAAAAAAAGAAGAAAAAACGCTGGGCAGTAAATCCATGAACTGTATTATTGTGAGAATATTTGATTAACATAAATGAAGGTGTTTATAAAATAAATAAAAGAAAAATAGAAAATATTGGATTTCTGAGTGGTACTTTTCAAGTTTACTCTAAATATTATTGTCGTTTTATTTTATATTTCATTGTATTCTCTTTTTGGAATTATTTTTAATTAAAATTAATTGATCGAAGTAAAATAGCGAGCATTATTTAAATATAGATAACTTTAAAATTTAACGACAAGTATAAGCATTAGATCAATGAAAGAAATTAAAGAAATATTATAAGTAACATATAAATTTGACCATACTAGATGATCGTTCAATTAATGACTTTGAAAGAAGCATTTTCTGAAAACGTTTACTGTTCCAATAGCTAATGCATTTTATGAAATACTGATTATTTGAAATATTTTTTAATTACATCATCAAAACTGCTTAAAAACTCAATCCTACATATACATTATATATAGTGGCGCTTAGAAATACATTAAATTTTCAACATTTCGAAAAATTAGCGACATTCAAACTGTTATAATTTTAACAAGAAATCATATCGCAATGAATTTGATTATTGGATTTATTTTAAAGCAACTTCTGCTTTCACTATTCTGCATTTACTTTTCACAAAAAAATGTTTCTTTGTCATCCAGTAAAATGAAGTATAGGAAGTAAAGATATTGTTTTTTCTTGAAAATGCTATAAATTCATACGTCTTTAAAAGCATTGAAAAAATTTTTTCACGACTGAATTTATGATAGATTTGAGGACAAGCTTTCCCTTTACAATAACCTTCTAAAATTTATTGTACAATTTCTTTTCGTTAGGTTGTTTTTTTTATGACATTTGAAAATGACGAAAATTCGACGAAATCTGAATTTCTTTTTATTATTGTCACAATTTTTATTTAATCCTATTATTCAAAGTTCAATAACTTGGCAGAAAATAATCATATTGCAGATTCAGAGAGTCATTGTGAAGAGAAAGCTTCAGTCTTCAAATTTAGTCATAAAAAAATTTTTCAATGTTTTGTGAAAGATTGAGAAATACAAGATATTGTATAACGTTTATTAATTATTTATTGTGATTAAAAATATTTATTTCATTATTACATAATAGTTATTACAGAATGTGCTCAAAGCGATGATCATTGACATCTAAATACTTTTGTAATCTAATTCTTAAAATATGTTTCACATTACTTAACATTAATGCATCATTATTTCTACATTCTTCGACAATTTTTTGACGCATGTCTTCAGTAATTGACGTTCGTCTACATGAACATAGACTATTTTTTAGGGTTAAAATTTGATGAACGAGTTAACCAATGAATTAATCCACCTCGTCCAATCTATCAAGAGAAAAAATGTTGGTCCAATATTACAATGATATTACAATACGATTACAACATCACTTCTTTCAAAAATTGAATAAGACACGATGAAAACGCAATGTAAACACAACATAATACTATTAGCAAATGAAAGAAGAATTATCGTTAAATATTTCATAGTAAAAGATAATCTGAGAGACAAAAGATTATCTGACATCTAAAAAACAAAAAATTGAGTAAAGAAATTCGACTTTTGAGAAATATCGCAATATTTTAATTAAATATCTTTTCGGTATAAATAGTTTAATTTTTTTTATGGAAAATGACAAGCTGAATCAATTAGTATATTAAAAAGTATACGACTTGACTTAAAAAAATTTGACCTTCAAACGCTATCAACATTAAAAGATAATAACTATATCAATTAATGCTTCTTTTGAAACGATTCAACTTTTGTCTAAGTACATCTGATTCCGATTTATATTAATTTAAATAATTATTCGGAATCATAGATTTTTTTTTAAATTTGCATCACAAAGTGATTGATCCTCTGTATGAACGACTGCTTGCTAAACGAAAATGACTAACTCGGAATATGTTTCTGTACCTATAGTTGTCGAATGAGCGAACAGGGGATCGATAAAACTGAGGCCGAAAATTTAAATGTGGATTTGATTATCGTTTCTTCGCAGATTTTCACTGTTCAACTGCTGTCCGATTTTCCAAGAGATAGCAAATTGAACAAATACATTTTTTTAAATCATTTTCTTTCGAGATGCGACGCGAAATTGAAATTTTAATTAGGTTGTTTTTCAATTTAGTTGCACTTAATTATCCACGGAAGAGATTTTAACAAATGTATTTGTTAACTGATGACAGATGTACAACAATGTGTAATGTCGAATTCACAATAAAATTAGAAATTACGATTTTAATATTCCTCTCAGTTTGATAGAGAGATTCCATTATTTTCATGTTGTGGATTTCAAATTGCTAATAAATACAGTATGTTTCACCTAATTTAAACGTCTCAAATATTTTCAATTTTTATTATAGGAAAAACATAATAATTCGAAGTAGTAGTAAGTAAAAAATTTTTTCAAAGTCATTTTTGCAAAATTCCATGATGTTAACATGACGTCACTGTAATAAAAAATTCATTAAAAAACAAAACAAAAAATTATTTTCATCATATTACTACAAATCATGCAACATAAAGATTTTGAAAGACTGATGTAATTCCACAATTTTTTGAGTCGCGATTAATATTAACAAACATATTTTTAATATTTTATTACTAATTGAGATAAATCGTAAACATTCATACATTAATTTCTCCTTTCAATTATTGAAATTAGTCGAGATTATTATTTAAGTTGGTTTAATTTTCTGTAAAACAATAAATGATCCATTTTAAAAACCTCCGGTGATCATGAAATTTAGTAAAATAATAATCTTGAGATAATTTTTTGTTTATTATCACATTTGCCCACACGTATTTACTCTAGCATTCTTTTTTTAACATAAAAATAACGAGATATTTAAAACGTTCAAATTAGATGGGACATACAATATATCATTTACAGATAATCGAAGTTATACCATTGACTACTCAATGATTATACACGATAATCAAAAATTATATATTACATTCACCGTAATATGATTTTATACCTCTAGATTGGTAATTTGTTGAAAAAGCTAGTGCAAAATTGTCCTTGAAATTCAAGATTAAAATTTTTTGTTTATATCGTATATTATGTGTCGTATTCATCGTATATCGTAAGATCCGTACATCATACATATATCAAAGGATCTATGAGTTGCAATGATCTTGAATTGACATTAAAATTTTATTAATCCCTGTAATTAATTTTATTTATGATATTGTAAGAAAAAATGTTACAAATATTCAATAGTATAAATACTGTAAATAATAATAATATATTTATATTTCAAGTAATTATTCTTTAGCACGTAAAATATATAAAAAATCAACAAGATTTAGTGGGAGATCAATATATCTGAGAAAAGTTCTAGATAGTCGTGATTTCCAATGATTGGATCAGTAATTCAACGATTCAGAACTACGCTTTAAGAAAAAGAAGAGTATTGTTGTTTACATTCGTAAGAAAAAACAAATTATTGCTTGTGTATACATGTGTTGCTGATTCTGAAGGAATCTATTTAAATTGAGATATTTAAATAGCAAATATTTAAATAATTCTATTTAAATTGAGATATTTAAATAGCAAATATTTAAATAAATAGCAGATATTTAATTAGCAAAGTCACTTTATTTTTAAATTGAGATATTTAAAGGTTTGCACTTTAACATGTCTAGAAAAATTAGTGCTAACTTTCGAGATATACTTATATTTATATCTTATATTTTTATACTTATATTTTTTTCAATATAAATAATTTCTCATAGATATTAATGAATTGACATTTTTCATTACTGTAAAGTGATCATTTCCAAAATAAATAACTCATATATCATTAGTAGTTGAAAAGAAATCTTGTGAAAGGAACACTATTATTGTGATGATTGATTGATTATTTCGAGTAGACTTAATGTAACTTAAATATAATATAATATTGTACAGTATAGTGTGTTGATAACGGCGAAAGGAAATTATCTCCCTTGTGAAATTTTCATATATATTGTGGATATACTTACAAAGTAGGGATTTCGCACGAAAAAAATAATACGTGAAAAAGACATAGCTTTACAAGATTCATCATGTGTAAGAATTTTGTAGAATAGATCACCTTGTTCAAATTCACATTGTTAAGTGCTAAAAATAAATTAGTCCGAGTTTCCCTGAAGATAAGAAAGTTTTTTATAACGTAGAAATTGTTATAACGTAGAAATTCAGGATCGTTTTACTATCCTTACTATTATAGGTATTATAATATAAGATATTTTCTGACTTACTAGTTATCTATTTCATTTTTGCTTTTTGCATTTTGAAATTGTTCGTACAGGCAACATGTCTAATTGATTTAAAAATTAAATCTAGTTGATTTAAAAATTAAATCAAGTGATGAATATTATACGTTTATAAGTATGTAGATAATAATACTAATGTTATTTTGTATCATCTAATATTAAATATAAATAATATAAATAAAATCAGTTTAGCAATTAGCGAAATTTTAACATTATTTTTCAGAACTTTATTCGGATTATCTGTGATAGTTTCAAAAATTTTATTCGGGTTATCTATGATAATTTCCTAATAGTTTTCCCATAGTTTTTTTGAGACTTTTTATTCTTGATATGAATGGAACGATGTAATAAAAAAGTCTGATCTTGAAAATCATGCTCAAAATCAATTTTGCAATTACTTTTCTAAACAGATCTCCGGATACATCTATCAAATTTATGACAAATAAGTTTTAAATACCATATACCTATCTGAATTTTTTACAATTTGACTTCACGTGTGTTTCATTCTCATATTTTTATTATGATTTAATTTTCATTTTTGAAATTATTTTATTTGAATATTGTTACTGTTAAATTTTGTATTTTTCGACGCAGTTTCTTTTTTCTTTTTTGATTCTGCTTCAGTCACATAAACTGAAAAAACAATATTCTAATAATTTTTTAAATATTATTTCTTATTTTTTCTTTTCTATCAATATAATATATAATATTAAGAAATATACATATTGTGAGAAAGTATAATATTAATATAAATAGCCTAAGTATAATATGAATAAAAATAGCCTAATAATAATAAAAGTAACTGTTAACACATTTTTATTATATTAAATTATGATGAAAATTATAATTAAATTGACTGAATGTTTTTCCGAAATGAAAAAATTTTTTTATTTAACACATTTAAAACATTTCAGTTGTTCTAACGAAAATCTGTTCTAATCTGTTTCTAGATTACCGTGACTACAATTGGTTACGGGGATACTGTTCCACAAACGTGGATGGGAAAGATAGTCGCTTCATGTTTCAGCGTATTTGCTATATCCTTTTTTGCACTTCCAGCTGTAAGTATAATTTTACGTTCACTTGTTAGTTCTTTTATCATTTATTTCATTTAATTCTTCTTCTTCTATTTTTCTTTAATATCGCATCGACAGCGAGGCCATTAGCGACGATAGTGCCATTAGATATGTGTGTAGTAATTTATGTTTTTGAGATATTTTAATACTCTTTGTATGATATTTTGAGAAGTTAGGTTTATGTTTGCGTTGATTCCGTATTTCTATCTTTAGGTTTCTGTGGTGTGGCAGTATGTGGGTTATTGTTAGTGGATGGTTATTGCAATGAGTGCAGGTGGGTGATGTAGCTTTTTTAAATTTTGTGTTCATGTGTCAGCTTGGTATAACCGGTTCTTAGGCGTGTGATAATTATTCCTTTTTTCCTGTTGTTAAAGTTTGGTGTTTGCTGGTGAAAGTCTTGGATACTTTTGTGTAGTTGGATGCTTTTAGTTGTTTTTGATGTATTGTTCCATTCATTTTTTGCTACTTTTTTGCAATGGATTATTTGGTCGTCGCAGGGGATTGGAAGATGTTTCTGATTGTTAGTAAGAGAGAGAACTGTGGCTTCTTTCGCTGCTGCGTCGGCTTTTTCATTTCCTTCTATTCCTTGATGAGCTGGAATCCAGATGACTGTGGCGTTTGTTAGGCTGGCTGTGGTTTAGTTCTTGGATGGTGATTTTTTTTGATCATATGATTTCGTTAGGGATTTTGTAACGCTCATGGAGTCTGTGTATATGACGATCTCGGCTTCGTTATTTGAGTGTGCATATTTAATAGCTTCCAGGATGGCATAAGTTTCGGCTGTGAAAATGGATGATGAGAGATTTTTTTGGCTTTTTCTGTGATAATGGCATATCCAGGTCCAGCGTCCATTTTTGACCCTCAGTGTAAATCTTGCTGTGTTGGGCGTAGTTGTTATTTATTTCTAGGAATCGAGTCTTGTGGTCAGTTGGACTGAGGATTTTTTGAGGGATTTCGGCAAGACTGGTGTTTGTTGGGAATGCTTCTATTGTCCATGGAGGGATTTGTGGTGGTTTACGTTCAATGGTGGGGCGGATTTTGAAAGTGGTGGATTGGAGGATTTTGGTAAGTCTGATGTGGAAAGGGGAATTTTGGGCTTATTGATGTAGAAAGCTTTGTATCTATTGGAGAAGATGCTGTTGTAAGAAGGATCATATGGAGTGGATAAGACTTTTAGTGCGTAAGAGTTAGGAACTTCCTTCTGGGTTCAAGTGTCATTTCTTTGGCTTCGAATAGTAGTCTGTTTATGGGGCATGTTCGGTATGCACCTGTGGCTAGTCTAAGAGCTGAGTGGGAGTTTGGATCTATTATTTTTTTAGTGGAGCTTTTGGCTGAATTATAAACGGTAGAGCCGTAATCTAGTTTGGATCTAATTAACGTTCTGTATGTTTCTAGAAGAGTGTCTTTATTCGCTCCCCAGTTATTATTGAAAAGGGTTTTTATAATGTTAAGTCTTTTTATACAGGACTCTTTTAAGGTTTTTAGGTATGGCGACTAATTTTTTGTCGAAAATAAGGCCCAATTGATGGTGTCAGTGAACTTTAGTTCAAGATTACTCAGATATAGTTTAGGTGGGGGATTGAGTTTGCTTTTCCTAGTGAATAAGATGCCTTGGGTTTTTTCGGAGAAAATTTTAAGCCAGTTATTTTTGACCAGTCCTGAAGGGTATTGACGGCTGTTTGTAAATGTTCATTAATGGAGCTTATATTTTTCCCGCTACATGTGATTGTTATGTCATCCGCAAACACCTGGGTTTTTATTGGTGGTCTGAGATTGGTGGTGATGTCGTTGATTCCTATTAAAAATAGTGTGATACTCATTACTGATCCTTGTGGAACTCCCTTTTTGATGTGACAGGGATCCATTTGCTCTGACTTGGATTGATCTATTAGATAGGAAGTTGGTTATGAAAGATAGCATATTGCCATTTACTTTTAATTCGATGAGGGAATTAATAATTTTGGTTCTTGAGATTATGTCGAAGGCTTTACCGATATTGAGACATGCGGCGGTTATGTATTCTTTTCTTTGAGGAAGGCGTCGCAGATATTTGTTTCCAAGTTCGCAAGGACGTCTATGGTTGAATAGTAGGGTCGTAATCCGTATTGATTTGGGTTAAGAAGTTTTTTTACTTCAAGGTACCATCTAAGTCTACGGTTTACGATTTTTTTCTAGTAGTTTGCACATGGTATTAGTTAATGCAATTGGGCGATAGCTGTTAGGGTTTAGTTTGCATTTGTTTGGCTTAGAAATTGGAATTACTATTGCTTTTCGCCAATTTTCGGGGAAAACTTTATGGATTCATATACAGTTGAAAATTTTCAACAAGTAATTTATTCCAATTTTTGGGAGCATTTTTAGTAGTGAGTTGGGGATATTATCTGGTCTTGGGGCGGAGTTTTTTGTTGATGTAAGGATGGAGTGTTAAAGGTGAGTTTAGTAATGAGTTGTTATCGTTGTGAATCAGCTCATGGTGTATATTGTTGTTGTTTATTGTAGGGTAGTTTATGTTATTTGAATTTTCTTGGAATTTTTTAGCTAATGTGTTAGCAATGTCGTGGGCTTGAGTTACAATTCTACCATCATCAGATTACAGGAATTGGATATTCGTAGAGGATTTGGACCCATTTATGCATTTGATTTTTTTCTATACTACAGATGTTGATGTTTGGATTTGATGAACATGATTGTTTTTTATTTTCTTTAATTATTCTACGGAAGTTGGCGCGTTTCCTTTTGAACTCGGTTAGGTTTTCGTTTGTGGGATGTTTTTTTGCTCTATTGAAAGCGTAATGACTCTTGTATGGCAATTTTGCATTCTTTGCTCCACCACGGTACCGGTCTTTTTCTGATTTTTCTGCAGTCTGGGAATTCCAAAGGATTTGTCTGCGACTGAGGTTATGATTTGTTGAAAATTGTTTATTGTTTCGTTAATCCGGGCTGGGTCAAGTTCAGGTTCTGTTTCTTTCTCGATGAGTTGAAGCATTATGTTTTCTTGGTATACTGGCCAGTTTGTTTTTTTTATATGCCATTTTGGTTGGACATAATTTTGAATTGTTGTGCTATTGTCTCCATAGGTGATTTTTATGGGAAAGTGGTCGCTGTTGTATAGTTTTTTCAAGTATTCCATGTTAGGTATTGAGCTATGTGTAGACTGGAAAAGGTTAAATCTATTGCACTTGATTTGTCGTTCCTAGTGCTGAAGTATGTTGAGGAACCTGTGTTCAGCAAGATTAAATTCTGATTGTTAGGTTGATTTTCAATAGTCTTTCCTCTTCTGTCAGTTTTGATCAATCCCCAGAGAGCGTGATGGCTGTTAATGTTTCCGGACAGGATCAGTGGAGCTGGAAGTTTAGCTATTAAATCTTCAAGGTCTTGTAATTCAAAGGGGAAGCTATTAGGAATGTAGATATTGCAGATGTGGATTCTTTTTGGAAAGGAAATAAATATTGCGATGGCTTCTAAATTTGAATTTAATGGGATTTTAGTAGAATCATATTTGTTCGAAATTACAATGGCCACTCCTCCGCTAGCATGGTTTTCGTTTACCCGGTTTTTGACGAAGGCGTCGAAATATTTTAATGTAGGCTGATGATTTTTTTTGAAATTTGTTTCTTGAAGGCAGATAATATCAGGGCTGTAATTATTTACGAGTTGTTCGTAATGGATATAGTAACCGTTTCTGTTCCACTGTATTATTGTTTTCATAATGTATTTGGAGGGGCTTTGGATTTGGATTTTTCTGCTATTACGGCTCTTATGAAAATTCAATGTCGGATTCAGCAGCTAAATGACGATTCAGGTATGTCAGTCGGTTTGGTAAGCTTTTTGCAAAGTCGATGTATTCTGTTTTTTATGCTTCTTTCGTTTTGATGGTGGTAGATTTCTTCCAAACAAGAGTTTGAACAAGGGTCGGAATGTTATCGGTGTAGTTTCTTGCGATTTCCAATGAGTGAGCTGATCCGAAGGTGGCTTGGAGGAGGCTCTTGATCTAAGAATAATTTAGCTGAATTCAAAGAGAATAATGTGAAGGATTTTTTTCTTTAGAAGGATTTATTATTTCTTTGCTGGGGCTAACATTTCCTCTAGTTTGGCGAAATCGAAAACTGGAGATTGGGGAGGAAGTGGTTTTAGTTTGGTTATTGCAATTTTTTTTTATGAGTTGGTGGAGGCATGGAGTCTATGTCTTTTAAGCTAACATAGTCCGGTTTGTCGTCAGCTGATGATTGTGACAATGGTCTTTTGGAACTGAAAAGGATTGGTAGTTGCTCTGTAGGTAATTTATTCGTTGTTTGTTTAGAATTGTCAATATTTATCTCGGTAGTGATGGGAATCTTCTTTACCGGCAGTTTGGAAGATTGAGTTGGTGTGGGAATTGTTGTATTTGGGATTGTCGTATCGGTTATGTTCGAATTTTGGGTTAGCGGGCAATCTTTCGCTAAGTGATGTTTACATCGGAAGCAGAAAAGGCTGCCGATGGAGGTGAAAATGCGGTAAGATGTATCTTCAAAAGTTATTAGGAAGGTGGATGGAATTTTTCCAATGTCATCGAGGTCAATGTATACCTGTCTTCTGAAACTGAGGATGTGGGTGTATTTCGGGTCGGTTATTCCTGCTTTCAGGGTTGTTATTCTGGAGCACAGCTTGACGTTATTTCTTTTGAAAATTTTTTCAAATTCTGAGTTGGGTATGACCGGGGCGATGTTTGATAGAATTACTCTTTGGGCCGGAGTTAACATTGGTCTTAAGTTTAGCATATTGTTGTTGACCGTTATTGTTTTATGCAGATTNTGTTAGGTGTAGCACAGTTTCTTTTTTTATCAAGATATGCGCAAATTCGATTGTTTGAGATTTTGGAAATGTACCTTATTGATTTGGGGCCGATTAGTTTCCCTGTTACAAAGGCATAGTCTTAGAGGCTTATGTCATCTATTGCGTGGATGATGATAGCTTGGTCTTTTGTAGGTGATGCATCGAGTTGTGCTGCGTGGGAGTATGATTTAATGGAGTTGTTTGTTTCCGTTTGGTTAGAAAATTGGGAACCCCTGTACTCAGAGGTCCCCGCAGGTTGGTGTTGGTTAGTTAGTGTATTCCTGTGGTATTCCTTTGTGTTGAGGTACGAAATTGGCGTTTGTTTTCACTAACACTAACACTATAATAATATGGATTGGAACTCGTAAGCGAGACTGTATCGGACATCCGTACGGTACGACGGTTAAACCGAGACTGATTATTTATGAAATCATTTAATGTTTCAGTTAACAAAAGAAAAATAATTTTTTTTTATTAAAAAGAATTTTAAATTATTATCTTTAATACTATTATTTTAACTTTACAATATAAAATATTGAGTAGTCTATTATATCTTAACCCTCATTATGTATCACTTTGACATACCTTTGCGTGAGAGTAATTAAATAAAATTTTAATCTATTATGTTAATAAATAAAAATCTACAAATTAAATTTTTTATTTTTTCATCGTGGATGTTAATTTTTTACTAATACTATCAATTTGACATCAAGATAGAAGTTAATTTGAAAAACAAGAGTTAAATATAAATAATTATGAATCTCAAATAATTGATCAAATGTTAAATATTCCGAAATATTAGAAATATTAGATATTTATTAATACAATATTAGACATTTATTAATATAAAGTACTTAATATGTAATAGATCTATTATGTTCTATGATAATTCTATGAAAATTTCTGTACCTGTTTCATAATGTAATAATCATAATGTAATAATCAGGTTTTTATTGCTCATTTAGATAATTCATAAACTTTCTAAAGAACAAACACTGACTGTTTACGGTTTTAAGTCTTGCTAACATTATCAAATATACGAACTGTAGAGTACTTGAATAGTTTCTAAAAGTTCGATTATATGATAAACAAACAATACCTTATTTAGTATGACAAGTATATGTATTTCAATGACAATAAATTAATCGTAATTTACACCAAAAAATTCGATTTAATTATATAAACTTTACTATTGTGTAAGTCTAGAGAAAAGTTTGGATCAATAAATAATTTTCTTTTCTCTAGTCCATAAAATACATTTTATTCATTCGTGCTTTGTATATTTCTGCAAACATTCAAATAAATAGTATATTACTCAATATCCAAATCAAACGTATTTTTAAATTAGCTTCAAAATAATTTTATGATAAAATCGTCTGTGATAATGAAATATGTTGAATTGCTTTAACACAAACTTATAGAATAACATTAATCATAGGTAATATTGCAATGTATTGAATATAAAGAATAACATTAATCATAGGTAATATTGCAATGTATTGAAGTATAAAAGAAGTTTACAAAAGATTTTCTAAATAGCTATTAATAATCAGAATAGTCCACAATCATTTGGATAACTTTTTATAAAATATGTTGATAAAAGTTTGTTTTCTCCTAATATTGTACATGTATCTTTTATTTTTATTTTTTGGTATAAATTTCATACTTTAATCACCGATTATTTCAACATTGTTTTAAAAAAGGATTGACAAATATATTTCAATGAATTTTTTGTCAGAATCAGTACAGTACTTATTAATATCAGTGGAAAAGTTAGAAAGGAAATAACGTATCCGTTATATTATTACAATTATATTAAAAATTAGACATTTTATGTGTTAAGAAGTAAAAGACAAATATTGAATTTTTATTTTAGGGAATTTTGGGCTCTGGTTTTGCGTTAAAAGTCCAACAAAAACAACGACAGAAACATTTCAATAGGCAAATACCAGCAGCTGCGATGTTGATACAATGTCTATGGAGATGTTACGCCGCCGATAAAGCTATCAACAGTGTAGCCACTTGGAACATTTACATCAAAGATCCAACTCCGGCTGGGCAGCCTTCTACACCATTGGGAAAGGTAAGGTTTCGCTACTTCTGATCCGAGTTCAGTGGCAGTAGCTACTATAGCCGTTGATTGCAGTTGTTTCTAGTTGCTTATGAGTCGTTTGATTCAACGATATTCGTTCATTCTTTGCCGTTCTTTGATTCGGGATTGTTTCGATAATAGTTATTTTCAATGATGAACTAAATTGAAACTATCATGATTGGAAACTTAATTGATGTTTACTTTCATTGTATAGATTATTGTGGATGTTACTGTAAAATATTAGATATGGATAGGATAATGTATCGATATTTGGAAAATGTCAAGCGTTAGAAATTGAATTTGCTTGCATTAGAAATTGACAAGCAACAGGTATAATAGTCAAAGTTTGACAAGTTAGTAAAAGTTCTAAATTTTTATTTTTATTTTTTTATTGTGGAATTTTGTATATAGGTTTGGGTTAGGTTTCGTAGAAAATAAGCTTGCTAGTAAAGAAATTAAGAAATTAAAAATTTAACTTTATTTTAATATAAATCCAAGATTTTTATGGCACATAATTGTATATATTAAATAATTGGTAACTTTCATGGATTATTTTACAAATCATTTTTTCAAATATGTATATATGATAAATGTTTATTTCTAATACAAGTCTTATTCTGATAACACTATTTTATCACTTCACTATTTATTTATATCTTTTATACATATATAAATCAAATAAAAATGAATAATTATCACAAATAGAAAAATATGGAATATTAAAGATGATTGTTTCAAGTTTTATGTCATCAATGTCAGACTAGAAATTATTTATAAATAATATAAATTATTCAACTTTTTTTAACAAGTATCAGTATATTCTAATTCAAAACATGTTTTGATTGGAAGGATTGTTTTCTAACAATTACAGTTATAACAAAAAATATGCAGTAATTAACTTGGGTATATATAAAATAATAACATGTAAATTTGTTGATTATAGATGAATATAAAATTGTTTAAAAGTCATAAAAATTCATGATTTTACAGTAACATAAAAGTATATATATCTTTTGCAATGGGAAAAAGCGTCGAATTAGTTTCCTTTGTTTAGGTCCTTTTTTTAAAGTGAAAAATCTGATTTATTATTAGTTTAATTAGTTTAAATTAAGTTTAATAAGTTTTGTCATTAGTCCATGATATTCTTTGGAAAAAAGTGTTCCTTGACAATTTCCTACATATTAGGTTCTTGTATATTTTACATGGAATTGTATTAAATAGAATCGAAATCATATTCGAGTTGTTATACATAAGATGTTTTTAAGATGACATTAGAAAATTATTGTTAAACGACATTGACATATTTATTGTTAAAGTAATCAAATATAAATTCTGAATCTTTTTCAAAGATAGTTATTATAAATTTTTTAATATATTCTATAATCTTTTATAAATTTCCAATGTGCTTGAAGAGAAACTTAAGCATGTAGTTGACATATTTTTTGAGGTTTCCGTCAATAATTCATATTTATGTCTCCGACATTTCATGAATAGTCAATAAAAAATATATTATTATCTTCAGATAGTATATAACATAGTATAAAAATCTTTCTGAGTTGTTTTCAATCAATTGTTTGTACAACTAGTATTTTTATAATCGAATATTATTATTACCAATGAAGTACAAATTTTCTAATTACTTCTTAAATTTACTTAATAAATAACAAAGCTAAAAATCTCTAATGCAATTCTGTATATGAGTAAGAAAACAGTGAAGAATGAATATTACTAACATAAGTCAAAATTTCAGTTTTATGAGCAGTAGCTAAAAATAAATAATAAAGCAATTAAAATAAGGTAGTAATCTCGTTTAATTGTAGTTTTTGAAATATATATATGTAGTATATATATGTAAATATATATGTAACATTTCATTGTCATTTTAAAAACATTATTCCAACTGAATGTATCTATTGGCACATTACATTGTTGTTTATTGTTAAAATTAAGAAAATTTACGAAATTTTAAGAAAACTAAAGAGATAAAAATAGAAAGAAGGGAACTATCGTATTTACAGTTATCTTACGAAATCAGGCAAATAATTTGGCAGTGGATGGATGCAAGCAGAGAATGCGAGTTCTGCTCTGTGTTTTCAATGTGCCATTTAATATTCAAAACATAATTATAACTGAGTGTTGTTCGTGATTATTCGTGTGTTGATGCAATTTCAAATTTTGCTTGGAAGCTTCTGTATTATTCTATATTCCCAGTTATTTTCGTGTCATAGCACGAACAAAATCTTGCTTCTCTATTGTTCCTTCAATCCTTCTTCTATTGTGTTTATTATTTATAATATATCAATATATATGAGTCTTTGTCTCCTCATTTATTTTCTAAGGTGAAATTCTCATAACGCACTCTAATTTATTATGTAATCAAATTAATGATAACTTTTTATCTATAATAAAAGAGAAATTGTAGAAATCCATTTCATTTAAAGATAACTTTTTGAGTAATTTATTAATTAATATATGTGTATTTAGTTTTGCAAATTAATAACATGAATTTATTTTTATTTATTAGTCATGTGATATGAATTGTTGATTGAAGAATTTTATTTGAAGTTAATTTTATTTGAAGTTAATTTTATTTTTAATGTTAAAAATATTTTGATAACTATTTTTTTCAGAAAAATTAGCATTTTAACAGTATTTATATTGTGATATATTTTGAGAATTAAAAAAATGTTTTATAGTTTTTGGATTATTTAAATATAACAGTTATGAAAGTTGACTCAGGAGTATAATAATTCAGAAGATTTGATTATCAAAGTTGAAATGCTTTAGAGACAAATATAAATTAATTGTAAAGTCATGTATCCTTTCTTCATGATATTTTAGAAAAGAAAAAGTTAATAAAGATTTTGCTCTTTCTTTGACAACGGATAATTCTTAATTCGAAGATTCAGAAAATTATGAGAAACCTATGAGAATAAGTAAAAAATATATTATGCAATTTGTTTCTTATTGAAATTCTCTAAGGGGATGAAATTATGTCCTCAGAATTTAGTAATTTTTCGATTTTATGTTTTAACTCGCGATAAAGAAAAGAAGAAAGAAAGAGATAAAAAAAAGTTTTTAGACAAAAATTACTTTCTTTAATTAAAACTATTTTATGATGAGAGATTGTTCAATTATCTATATAATTAAAAAAGTTATAAATAAAAATATTAATAAATTTTGTAAAATTCATTTTTCCGCGTGAAATCTTTACTGGTAATAATTATAAAATAGCATAATATTTTTTTCATATATGAACTCTGTTTTATTGGTGCTCTAACAATCCAATTTCTGGATCTCACGTTATTATACGTATATTGAAAAATAAACATACATGTGAGATATATGATATATACTATGCAATTTTATATGTTATAATTGTATCTTTTATTGCACATACAAAATGAACATACAAAATAAATGAAAAGAATTGTAAGATACAATTTAGCTCTGTATTTTTAACATAATTACAAATTTTTAAATCTAAAAAAACTGGCGAGAATGCAAAAATGATTAATTCAACGATTAGACAACTAAGAAAATATATTTACGATATGAAATTGTTCAAAGGAATATTTGAAACATAGAAATTTGTTCATATATTAGTATGATTATCACAAAACGAATCCGATGTATAAAATCTTGATATGAAAATGATTGAAAAAGTGAAATTTATTAGAATTTCAAATTTATTTGGTTTCTCATTTGTATATCTACTTTTATATCACACATAAACAGAGAGACGAAAATTAATTATGAATAAGTGACGATAATTTCATATTATATACACATGTACATAATATATATCGATGCGTATATATTTTTCACATTCAGATAAATATTGTACAAAAAACAATTGTAATAATAGTATGTAATGAAAACTACGACATCAATCATTAAATATATATGCATTCAACTCATATTTAATTACATTTTTCTTGAAAAATATGTCTCCAAAGAAATTTCTGTTATTTTTTATTTTTGTTTTGTTTTGAGACATCCTTTACTTGGCTTATATAGCGGACTAGGGCTGTAATTATATTGTTTCATAATTATTTAAATTAGTGATAAAGATTTCACTCAAAAAATTATTAATATTCTTACTTCTTTTTTTTATCCGGAGTTTAAAATCGCATCAATCACTGAGTGGGTTATTAGTGACTGAAGGTCTATGTTTATAATTGGTTGTACAATTGGTCTGTACAATGGGTCTGTTTTAAGTAATGCAGTAGGTTCCTTTGTCCTTCAGGATGTTTTCTATAGGGATTTTTGTTATATTGTTGTCTTTTCGTAGGGCGTTTTCTGCAATGTAAGATGATATTCAAATGTCAGGAAAGTGTTGCATGGTCTATAGGTTGGTGGTTCTTTCTAATATAATCCTTGAGACCACGACCTGTCCACGTCTTGGAAGGATGTGAGATATGCTTTTTTTTTTAAATTTTCTTTTATTGTAACTAGTCGTGGGGGGGGGGATGAATTTTTTCATTTGTTGTTCCATTCATCTTTAATCCTTTGTTTCAAGGTATGGGTTAGAGTTTTTGGTGGTTGTTATGAAGCTGGTTAGAGGATGAGGAGTTGGCTGTCTCTTTGGCCGCTTTGTCGGCTGTTTCATTTCCGATAATACCGACGTGGGAGGGGACCCAGATTATTGTTACCGAATTATTTCTTAGGGTAGCTTCTGTGTAAGATCTTTGGCAGGCTTGGTGTCGTTGGTCCAGCGGAAGTTCTTGTTTCGATGGAAGGCAGTGATTTCCATGCTATGCCTTAATGCGCTGAGTTCGCAGAAAAGGACCGATGCTTCTTAGTGTAGTTTAACTTTTTGAATCACTTGAGCACTAACGATCGCATATCCACAGCCAGATGGGATCTTAGAACCATCAGTGTATAATTGGGTTAGCAGTTTGTTTTACAGTTCTTGAAATAGGGATTTTAGTATGATATAATTGGTCTTCTTATTGCTATGCTCTAGCAACGAGGTATTGGCCTCGATT